ATTTTAGTACGGAGGACGATGATTTGATTGATGGAGAAATAGCATGCAAAGTAATAAATATCATGAACGAAAATAAGTCATGGAGTGATCCGGTGCCTATTTTTTTTTTTTTTTTTTGTTCCGTGGCCGTTAACTTTTCTTTTCTTTGAGACAATAACGAAATTAACAAAAAAAATAGCGCGGTAGTGCAAATGGTTGCGAAAAACTGGAATTGGCATTTATATACTTTTTCCAGCAGTTCCGGAAGAGCTATATCGGAGAAAATTCCCAAAAAGTTTCTAAATCATACAATAAATTATCGGAACTACTTGGAATCAACGATCAGACAATGGTTTGTTGAACTTCATAAATGTCGTCACCACAAGACCAAGGAAAATTACTAAATTACCTGTAATCGTTGTCATTAGCTTCTGGAGCTAATTGTCACAAAAATGTAGGCATCATTTCCTTCTCTCATTATTTATTTTATAAGCACTCCGTTAACCTCTGTTTTGTGGTTTCAGCGGGACGAACCTCAAGATCTGGGGTGAAAATGTAAATATAATTCAACGGACTGTGAATTTATTTAACGATTTAGCCGGCGGGTATGTGAACATCCCTTCGTGAATATAATTTGTGATTTTGATTTCGGTTAATTAAATTTAATCCCGTGAACTACATCGCTCCCAATAGATACAGTTCAGTTAGATTTCTTCGTAAAATCCAAACCACCCAATTCATCATTCAAAATCATACCTCCAAAGATTTCCCTTTCCTTGATTTTCACGATAACATGCGAAGTCGTATAACATACTATTCCGCTCTATCGAGAATATTATTCGTAGATGACAATGTTGATAGGGATTTTGACGAATTCGTTAAACCTTGGGATATTACGATGACTGAGCTTGGAACATTAAATTCTCTGCAAGCATTTAGACAACCTGCAGTCAAGGTATTAAAAAAGCCTCTTCATTTTCTCCATCACCTACGTGAAACTGTTGATAAATCGAGCACTAATGAACTTATGCTAATAGACGACTCTGTCGGGTATCTTTAGAGATTTGAGAGGATTCCTCTCGGCCATTCAGAGTCGAAAGAACTTTTTATTGCTTTTTGAATGGTTTTACCCTAATCACATGCAGATCCTATATCATGCTTTAGAGGCTTGGTTTGATGATGAATTGGCCATCACAATTCTTAAGTTCTTTCACGAATTTGTAAGTAATCGAACGCGGAGGTTGGATTTCGATATATCTTCTCCTAATGGCATACTATTATTCCGCGAGACGAGGTAATTTCGTGATAATTGGTTATCTGATTGCAATATTATTCGCACTTGTTCCATTCGTATTTACACCTCATATTGCGCTTCAAAAAAGTAAAGTGATCTCCACCTATGGTGAGTTCATATTAAATTAAATTTAGGCGTTGTCAGGCGTTAACAATTGGATTACATTATATCTAGATCGACAAATCAATTCGCGTCCCATGGCCGGCCGCGACAAGTACGCTGAAAAGTATGTTTATTTTTTGTTCGACACGCATTTCTTTCGTCCGCCGCTGAATTTACAACCTTCTCGTTTTAGATATAAAGGAATTTCTATTTGCTTTAACATATTGACAAAATCTTTTTCTGGTCGTTACGTTAACTTTGGAGTTTTCGAGTTGTATGGGGACAAGGCTCTTGAGGTGGCCTTGAATGCATCATTCGAAATGATGTTTAACGTAGAAGTGGACGATATTCTCGTAAGTTGATTCCCTCAATTACTGTAAAGCAATATGCCGAAAACGCTGTTCGTGCATCATTCAAATAATCCTTTAGGTATATCCAAAACTCTCAAAAGCCTTCTTTGATTGGATGAGCACTTTCACAAATGAACACATGATGACTCTTCCTAATATAGACTCGAGGTTTTTTTTATACATAATTCGAGCTCTCGCCGAAGGAATCATGGCACTTGATATCCTTTATTATTATAAGTATAAATTCTGTAGCAATGCACATATATTTTTCTCGACATTGCACCCTTAACCATTGAATTTTACATGGGGCTCAATGTTCGTCTGCCTGCGAAGCGATAGATCATATATGTACTTTTGTTATTCATCAATCCGCTAAGCGAAAGCCTAAGCAGCATTGGCTCCTCACCTACCTAACCGAATTTCCACGAGTGCTACCTTATTTGCTCACTGCAAATTTTAACGTAGTTCTTTTCGAAGACCGACAAACCCAATGGTCATTGTCCCGTCCCTTACTATGTCTGATCTTGTTGAACCAAGATGTAAGTGCATACATCGTGTTTTTTATACCTTTTTCTGTGAAAAAAGTCGTCATTTTATTAATTGCTCGTTTGATGTTTTAAAGTATTTTAATGAGTATATTGAAAATGTGTTACGGCATCAACTTCCGGAGCGGAGAGAAATCTTGCAAAAGGTTATTATCTCTATTTTACTTACTTATTTCGATCATTCTTTTTGTCGTCCAAATGAACGCCGATAATACGCTTATATACGTCTCATTGTACAGGCTGTTAAAAATCTTATGGAAGATGTGGATTTTAATTTGAATATTAAAAATCGCGATCGTTTTACACAGAATCTTAGCACTTTCAAACGAGAGCTAACTAATGAAAACGTCATATTGATATGTCCACCGATGGATCTCAAGTTGATGATGTAATATTTTTTACGTTCGTGTAGATTTTTGTCTAATCTGCTTAATTTATGTTCCCTTGAACTCAGGCTGGTCGTCCCACATAGAGATGCATAATGCATAATCTGATTTCTGCACATATCTTCTCAATTATACACTCGATCATTCTTCCTATTTACATTAACAAACTACTCATGAATTATCTAAATTTTGTTATTTTCGATCTTAACACATTGATCCCGACTGTTTTTGCACATTTACTATGAATCAATGATTTTAATTTTTTATGTAAATATTCGATCATGTTAACTAAAAAATTTTGTTTCTTTTGGTTTGTAGGTTCAAGTGATATGCAGGTTTGTGTGACTTATACTACTTTGTTAACTGTAAAAGAATACTCCATTTCTATGAGGGCCCAAATCGTCATCTTAACAAGCTGCAAAAGATCCGGTTGACAAGATTTCTATGCATTTGGTTCTGTTTAAAGAACTTATATATCTCGTTTATCACATAAAAGAGGATCGGTGATAATTTCGAGGCTAGTCAGAGTTATTTAATTTTTAAAAAAAAAAGATGTGACGATACAGATATTTATTGATTAAAAATAAGTAACAAAGGTATTTAAATATTATTTATAATAAAAAATCGCCATTAATTTTTTTTTTTTGTTGTCAAGTTACAAAACAGATATCCAATACACGATTTTATTAAAAGTAAATTCTGTTTAATATGTAATCTTAAATATCAATTATTTTATATCATTAATAATAGAGATTAATATTGTAAGCTATTCTATAAATATCTATTAAATACTATTTAAATAGATCAATATGTATAGATATCCAACAATTAATATGCATTTTATAAAGCCATATTAAGAATAAAAAAAAATTATATTGGCTAATTCTCTGATCATATATTAAAAAATATTTACAAGAAGTTTTCATATTTCTTGAGTAATAAAGTCTTTACACTTTCTTTAAAATAACTTAAACTTGTTTCAAAAGTCATTATTATTCCTCTTCTAATTATTTATAAACTTTTTTAAATTCAAATATATACTTTTTCTATTAAAGACAAGAAAGTTCTAAGAAATAAAAGAATTAACAGATGAAATATTATCTTTTGGAGCTGAAAATGATAAAAGATAAAGGTTTATTGATAGGAAAAGACTTATTATCCATTTTTTAATATATTATTTCTAATTCTTTTAAAATATTTATTATTTTTTATAATTTTTTTAAAGTATTTTATTTACTTAAATTTGATTTTAAATTTCTAATAGATAATGTTATCAGTAAAGATAGATCTATAAAGTTTAATATTATGTCTTATAATTGAAAGGTTTATAACTGAAAGAAATTTATTTTTTTTTTAAACTTTAGATTAAAAAATATAATTTTATAACAAAAAGCCAAATTTTTATAATTGAAAATCAATTTTATAACTAATTAACCATTTTTTATAATTAAAAGTCAAATTTTTATAATTGAAAATTAATTTTATAATTAAAAATCAATTTGATATACAAAATTAATAATATAAATAAATTGATAACTGAAAATAATAACATAATATACAATCTTTGATCTTTTGATCTATTCAAATAATTTTTGACTAATTATTATACAATATATTTATTTATAGTACTATGTAATTTTATTTGTTTTTATCTTTTTTATTGAAAAATTTTTTTAAAAAATATCTTTTTTTTCATACAAATTTAATAAATCAAATAATTTAATTTGAAATAATAGGAAAAAATATAAACAAAAAATAATAAATATTATTAAGCTATTTGTAATTATTGTAAAAACTTTAAAAAAAATAAAAAATCATAAAAACTTTGTTGGTATTTAATAAAAATAAATATTATTTTTATCCAAAATTCATTATAATATATTTTTTAAAATAATTGTTACAAAAGAAATCAACTTCATCTCTTCAAATAAAAATATTGATATTAATAAAAGAAAAAGATAATAAAAATTAAATAATTTTTATAAATATAAATTTTATAATCTAATTATTAAAAAAAATCAATCAAAAAACTTTTTTCTGATCACATGAGACACAGCAACCTTGAAAATAGGAAAGATGACTTCCAATAACAGAAACTCCAAAGTTTCACAACTTAAATAATAAAAGATAGATAGAACTTTATGAACAGAAAGAAGAAGCAAAAAGATTCTCTTCTTTCGATACCAACCATATGTCGCGAAGTCCACCAGTATATAGACTAAGATCCCAATACCATTAGCAGTAGAATCAAATCAAGACAGCAAGTCCAACAAAGCTCAGGAATTAGCAGCAAATCTTCTCAGAGTGCCATCAACATGGAAATAGAGACAGAATTAACCCATAAGGCTCAATCATGGAGCAAGCAGATGGAAGAAATCAGAAGTAGAATAAGAGATCCTCCAATGGATGGCTTATTTGTAGATGAAGAAGTAAAAAGAAACCCAAACTCCACACAGAGAGAAGCAACCTCTTAGGAACTGAAGACGAAAGACAACTACATAGAAATGTGGCCAGTGAAAGGGAAGAAGATTCCTGGACAACAGTAAGCTAAAGAAACAACTCAATCTGCCCTAGTATCAAACCATGATCAAGAATACCAATTGATCCGGAGACCAGATATGGCAGGAAATGCTTCAAGGTGGGTATCGACGCCAACATCATCCCTGGCTCAAATAACAATACAAAAATTCTTTATATCACAAAAGCCCTATACTTGTCACCAGAACTCATTGCAATCTGCAGTGAACGAGAAAAAGAGAGAACCTGAATCGTTGCAATCTTTGGTGATCAACAAGCAGCAGATGACGCAATGAGAATGGAATTACCCAATCTAGGTGACAATAAGCTTATTCACATGCAGATTAGCAAACAATCGATCGAGAAAGGTAAATCCATAGTAATTTGGGATATTCCCCTGAACACAAGGCTTATCGAGGTCAAACAACACTTTGTCAAATTTGGCAGCATCTCAGGAGTTAGTATGAACACACAAAACTTATGACAATATGCCACAATCATCTTTGAGAAAGAGGCAGTCAAAGAGATACTTATCAAAAAGCGTAACATCCTCATCAAAGAAGATGTGATCAGAATTAACGATGTCAGTTAGTCAATAGATCAAATGAGAGAAAGACACAGCATTGCAACAAAACTGATCAACCTACCTCCTGGTACCATAGCTTGGGACCTGAAGCAAGTCCTGAATGAGATGAAAGCATGGACATGCTATATTCTACGTATCTGCTCAATAAAATACAAACTGAAGAAATTTGCAGTAGTAAGCTTCAAAACAAGAGAAAACCTGTTCACCACAAAAGACATGATTTTCACCCTTGGAGAGACCACAATAACCTTAGTCCCCATAAATACACCCCTCTGTCTCATCTGCGATGCAATAACATACTCGGTGAAAGGTTGCCCTATAAAGGAGAGGAGAAAACAATGGAAAGAGTTTAACCATACCCAAATAGAAAAGTATGGTCAAATCTATAGCAAATTCAAGCCTGCCAAAACCGGTAGCTTCATAGCTGAGATGCCACCAAATAACAGGAGCAACAAGAGGCCAGTATCATACACGGCAGCTACATGAGTTAACAAAAACCAGCAAAATAGGACAAGTAAGGATCAAAATCAATAAAATCACCAGAAACAACTGCAACACCAACAAGGATGCATGCAACAATCTCAAAACATACAAGAGATCATGAGAATACTTACAACGATTTAACAAGAAGTGGCAAGTCTCAAGGAAATAATAGCAGATCTTGATGAAAGGGTCACGAATCTAGAAGTATACAACCAGGAGTACTATGACAAGATGGAACAGTATCCAGACAGTGATAATAAGGAGAAACATAAATTATCGACAAACAACCTGGGAGGCACAGAAATCTCGAACCAAGGACAAGAAACAACAGATATCAAGGAAAAATAGCAACAAATCAACAGAAAAAATAGATAACATGTAAGCTAACAAACAGCATGCACTCGAAGCCATCAGAGTACTGGCAGATAGTCAACAATAGCATCAATACTAAACTTAATGAGTAACATACTAAGAAAC